CGTAACATAATATTTCTTCCTACCATAGAGTTGTTGATTTGTTTGCATTTCTTTTATACGCTCTTCCACTCTCTCCTTCTTTCTGGTATTTGTCTTTCGTTTCTTTTTCTATGTTTTCTTTCTGTTATGCGTCTCTGTCTTCTATAGCTTTTCTTGTTTGGGTTTTTCCTCGTTTTCCTTTCTTTCTTTCTCTTTTGTCCTTGATTTCTTTTGTCCTTGATTTCTTTTGTTCTCTTGTCCATGTTTTCTCTTATCATTCCTCACTCTCCTGTTTTTGTTGGTTTCTATTATCTTCTTTTTAGTGTCTTTTGCAACTTTTAAGGATGATGTCTTAAAAGGTCTACGAGCATTAATTCTATACTCAACCCAACACAGTAATAATAATAATAATAAATTGTTTTTGTTTTTTTTTCAACTTTGTATTGTGCAAACAAATCCTTTTTCATTCTGTATGCCAATTTTACAAAAAAATAATATTTTTACACGTGCTTTTTCTGTCGTTTACTTTTCACGTTATTTTATGATGAAAAGAGGTTTAGTTCGAACCATTACAAATTCTTGAAAGAGAATTCGATGATCATTGAATTATGTTCCTTGATGATTTCTACAATACGATAAGTATACGATATATTCTCATTATTGCAGCCGCTATACCTCTTATCTTCATCTTACTAACTGTTAATACTGTTCATTTTTTTACAAATGACTATAATCTAAGAAATTTAAATCTGAATCACGTTTCATGCCATCACTGGTTTATCTTTAGCTCAAGTTCACGATTAGATCAATCCCTTATTCCACATCAACCAAATATTTCTATCATTATCGTTACAAATCATAATCAATCGATTCCCATATTCAACAAAACAAATATTATTTTTCTAAATTCTGAGAAACAATATAATAGTACTTTTCGTTCAAAGAATCCGAGAGTCATTGCTTATCTTCTTGCTATTAAACATGGCGCTCGTTTTATTTATGAATTTAGTACAAATATTTCGTTTCATTATTATCAAAATATTCAATATATAGCTTTTCGACGAGAACGATCACCATTTATTAATATTTATCCAACATTTACTGCTAATTTTAATCACTGTTCACCGGGTCTACCAAAAGATGAACTCTTGAATATCACAGAAGATGGTTGGAGTTCAATAAGAATAATTGATCCGTATCAAGAAACTATTCATCCACTTATTCAACAACAAATTTTAATTTATGATGATAAAGAAGTATCATTAGTCAATCATCCGCCTGTCGGTGTGGAACCATTCACATTTGCACCATTTTCAAGTCAAAATATTCTTTTCGCTTATGATGCATTTTGGGGTTTAGTATTACCTTCATCAAAGTCAGATATTTGGCGAAGTTGGTGGGTACAAAGACTATTATGGGATATTAATGCACATGTCGTTTTCACTTCTATTGCACATGAAATAAACATGACGATGACAATAGATGATAAAAAAAATGAAAAAGAAGATGCAAATGTTGGAAAACTTGTTCGATTTTTGAGCACATGGAAATCAACAAAAATGACATTAGTTGAACGAATTGAACAGCTCATAAATGATATGATTGAAGAAAAATTTTGTGATGTGGAAGAACAGAAAGTAGTAAAAGATTGGATCGATGATTTGAAAACAATAAACTATGTTTTTCCATCGATTAAGAACAATATGTCACAATCAGTAACATAATTCGTTTCAGTTGAACATAACTTTAAAATTAATTGTTGAATTTGTAGAGATCATCTGGAACACTTCGTCGTCGTCGAATCGCCGTTTGTATGACTGGTATTATTGAATGCATTGAAGAAGTATGGAAACCAACCATGAATGCAATTCGAACACACGTCAAAGGTGAAATGGATATATTTTTGTATTTGTCATCTAGTGAGCCATTCGGTTCTCAAATGCCAAATATTCCTTTACACATTCGTCTCGTTGAAGCATTACGTTATCCAAATTTTACAGTAAAAGTTTTATTTGAAAATATTCCGAAGCTTGATCCTCACTTTCCACCGAATTGTACGACTGATGCTAATGTTGACCAACCTGACTTTAAAATTCCAAGATATTATCAACAATTATTTGGTTTAAGTAATTGTTTTTCTCTCGTTCGTGATTATGAAAAGAGACATAATATTAAGTATGACATTATGGTAAGATTAAGAGCCGACCTACAGTTTCTTCAAATTCCAGCAACATTTGATCGAGAATCACCATTCGATATAAATACTACCATGATTTTACCACCGAATCGTTATGGTTCAAGAGTAAACGATGGCTTTGCTATCGGTCCAATCGATTTAATTGAGGTCTATATGAATCGATATTATGCATTTCGAGAATGTTTAACTCGTGACTTACATCCTGAACGATATCTATACTTTTATTTGAATTATCGAAAAGTGAAGATGACGATAGATGAAACAACTGTAGTAGAACAAATTCCTCATTCACCAAAAAGTTGCCACTGACACCAATACAATGCTGGAGTATTATTAACAATTCTTCCATTTGCAAGTTTTTTGTACAAAAATAAAACTGAAAAAGAAAATAAACAGCAAAAGGGGTGTAGGTGTTGGTGGGTGTGGTTGCGGATATAGATGTGCATCAGAGGTAGAGTGAAAAGAAGACACCCACACACCCATACCGAATCCCAACTTAATTCTGTAAACAGTTTAATATATTTTTTATTTTCTTGTTCACTCCGTATTAGCTCTTCACAGGCATATCAATAGAAAAAAAAGTAAGTGAAACAAAATTTTCTTTATTGTGAAGGAAAAATTGTATTGCTTCTTAACCCCTTAACTGTTATCGACGCCTATAGGCGTCAGAGCAATCTTTATGAAAAAAATAAAGAATATAATTGCAAAACTATGTTTTTTTCTGTATGTAACAGATCATTTGGAACATCCTGTGATAACTGAAGATGTTTTCTGATTCTAATGTGTTCTATTAATAATATTCTCCTGTATTAACTGTATTTTAAATTAACACTTGGCGAGGTTTTATTTTCGCATTACTGCTTGTGAATTGCTAGTTGCTGTTTCAACAAGTATGCCAATATTATGATAATTGTTACGTCCTGTTCAGTCAATCACAATAGACACAGACAGATAATCGTTTACATATATTGATGTAAATGTACGTTTTGAGGCAGTTAGGGTGTGTGGGTGTGGGTGTAGGGGTGTGGGTGTGGGTGTATGGGGTGTGGGTGTGAATGTGGATGTTACTCGTATCATTGACACCCACACCCGCATCCACACCCACACCCACATCCACACCCACACCCACCACATCCACACCCCACCCACATCCACATCCACATCCACACCACCCACCCACACCCACCCACACCCACCACACACATCCCCACCCACACCCACACCTCACACCCACACCCACACCCTACTTCAAATTGATAATCATTCAAAAACGCTGAAATGCATTACTGACATAATTAGGAATCTTGGTGTATTATTTATCAAAGTCGACAATAATGAACGCGCTCTTTATTATCTGAATAAAGCACTTGAATCCAAACAAAAATGTTTACGCATCATACATCCGAGCTACGAAATGTTATTTTTTAATATTGGTCACTGTTTTGAACAGATTGGTAATGATGAACAAGCTTGGATTTTCTATGAGAAATCACTCAACATAGGCTATCAATCATTACCAGCAAATCATTCGCACATAGCAACAGTTCTTTCAAAAATTGGTGGCTTGTATGATAATAAGTCGAATTGACCAACAGGAATAAAATATTTTGAGAAATCGTTGGAAAACAATAATAATATATTATCAAAAGATCATCCGGATCTGATTATAGACTTCGGTAATTTAGCATCAGGTTAAACTCATTTAGGAAAAAATGATTTAGACATCGATATATTTGAAAATGCATTAAGTTTTACAAGTATATCGGAGTTAAAGTTTTCATATTGTTCCTACGTATAATACTTGTACTGTAGTATATTTTAATCAAGAAAACTACGAAAAAGTTTTAGCAAAATCCGCAAAGGCTTATGATATGGCATTACAGTTATCCTCATTTGAGCAATCATATTTATCAATGTATCAAAAAAATTTAAAAGAAAAAAAACGAAAACTTCAGAATGTCACAATCAAACCAAGTTCTTCAGAATGAATTATCAAAGTCTTTTTCAAAACATAAATAAGTTCGTGCCATTTAGAAAAATTTTATCTGCACAAGATCCCTGTTCATTGTAGAGTGTGGGCGTGGAAAAACTAAAACGACTACACACCCACACGTACTCCGAAATTTTATCTCTTTCTAGAAGAACGAAAAAACAATAAAGACATTCTCAGTTCGATTTTTTTGCAACATGATTATAATGGACATTCTGATATAGAGAACGAAGGGTATTAGTGTGGGTGTGAATATGGCTCTTATGATGGGTATGCTTGTGGATGTAGAATATGAGTGTGGGTGAAAAAAACCAGATTCCCACATGTATCTACACCCACATCCTACTTGAACACGATTTTTTTCTTTATTCATTCTAAAAGCTACAACTGATTTAGTTGACAAAGACTGATTAATGAGAAAACGTGCATAGATCTTGTCTGTCGAGCACTAATCCGATATCAGCGTTCCGAATGAACCTCAAAGATAACTTTTTACTAGTTTTTCTTTCGCAATTTCATATAAAAACAAAGACTTATTCACTTCTTTAGAAATATGCGTGTCTCTTGAAATATAACAGCAAATCAATTTCATTCATTAACGAGATTTTTATGACATTCAAAAAATCCTTCTTTCTATTTACGACATCATTTTTCGTATACAATTTGAGCTTTACGAAATAAAGAAAATAATATTTTTCTTTTATTCTTCGTCGATAAAAGAAACTTCGCTGTTTGAATTCTTCTTGTTTATTTACCAATGAGGACGCTCAAATTTTTTCTTTCGTTTCATACTTTTTGAAAAAGAAAAATGACGTTGTCGAGTTTTCAATTGGTATTTGGATGGCATTTTTGTTTCTATCCTTCTACTCTCTAGGTAGGAATATGTATTTTTAACTTGTTTTACATTAATCATCTCATATTTTTTGACACTGTTTTTCTTTTGCCACATCATAAACAAGCCGATGGTAAGAATCTCGATGCAGTTAGTATGCTCCCGTTTGTATAAAGGTTCTGCATAATAAATATTCATTCTTTTTCTTTATCAATCATTCACTTGTTTCATTCCATCAATAGTGTTCACTTGTTCGAATTTTTGTCTCTGCGAACTGACTACAGCATTGCGTTTACTGAAAAGGAAGGAAAAACAGAGCTTTGAATGATGTCTACTAGAAAACTCGTATGTCGACTTAAAGCGATCGACGAGCAGGAACTATCTATAGGTAAGAATCCACACAAGCATTCATCATGACTGCCGATAGATTTCGGAAGTGCGACAAGGCGACCTTCTTCTTTTGGAAACACAGATGAAAAGTTAGATGTATAGGAGGGGATGGGAAAGGGAGAATTATTTGTATCGGAAGTAGTATAGAATTCTTTCCAACAATCTAAATTGTACGAACGCCTTCTTTCTTCGACTATATTTTCATACAAAAGTTAGACTTCGGCAAACGTCACCAGCTCTCACAAAATCAAAGAGAATTTCACGTAGAGCGAATTTTTTTCGTCGGCACATCTGAAAAGTGTAGAAGGACTTTGTAAATCTCCTTCATCGAGGCTCGTACCATGCGAAGTTCAAAATAACAAGAATTCATCGTAGAATAGTGTTTATACAGTGAGATTTTATTTGGTTTACCATACCATACAATTAATGTGTCATTATTGCAACTACTAGTTTTTGATATACGTTCTGTGTCTCGATAAACGTATTTATTTTCACTTTTTTCAGATCTCTGAATTAATTGATTAATATTATCAGAGAAATAATTATAAACATCATTAAAGTTTATTAGGATGATGAGTTTAATGCATCTGAACTCAATATTATTTATTTTGAGTGCTATTTATTCACTTGCTGAATCGCTAAATGTGGAAAGAAACGTTAGAGTTCGACGACAAGAGCCGACATTTATAGAAACAAAATGTATTTTAATTGACTCAGTAGCGAAAGAACGCTGTTCTACGAGTGTAAAACAATATGATTCAGGAGATGCAACACACCACGAAACATGTGTAACTGATGAAAAATTCCGCGTACAATATCAAATACAAAATGGTCAGAAAGTTATAAGTACAATTGAAACTTTCGGACGAAATTTTCCACGATTGATGAAGGTAAATTGATTTGTTTTTAAATAATCTAGAGCATTTTCAGAATCAAATAAAATATTGGTCGAAAAATTATTGATATTGAGGGATTCTCTTTTGTCTTCGCAATACGCATTTAGAATTTTTATTCGGAATAAAATATAATTGTATGCTTTTTGAATTAAGGCCGGCGATATTGATAAATGCTATTACAATCCAATCAATCCTCGAACCGTTCGATGGACTCTTATAGATGAAGATAGTGATTTCTGGAGTGTAGTTTTGAGCATTTTTATATCTGCATTATTCATCTTAATCTTCGTGGGTGCTATTATTTACCATTCTTAAAACTCTAGTTACGGGGTGAAGCATACATCCTCACATTCATATATTTTTACGGTGTCCGACTTATAAAAAGTAAAATAAAAAATAAACTTTGTTTTCTATTATATGAATTGTATTCATAGATTTATTAGCGATTTCTCAATAAATATTACCAAAATTGTTGAAATATTTCTATGTACATATAGGAATAATAATAGTTGACAGAGATGGGATTGATCCATACACAAAAATTCTTTTTTTGAACTTGAAAATAATAACACGAATGTGAGTGATTGTGCATATGCGATATAGATGTGGGTCATGGTGTGGGTGTGTGAGTATGGGCGTGGGTGGGGGTGTGTGAGTATGGGTGTGGGTGGGGGTGTGTGGCTGTGGCTGTGGGTGGGGTGTGATGCAGGTGTGGGTGTGGGTGTGAGTAAACATAGACATTCACACCCACACCCACCCACACTCATAATTGCCATTGTCAATAGTATATTATCTATAATCACATTTCAAACAAAGCCTTCGCTTCCAATAGGTTGTGGTGTTTATCTACTTGCATCATCAATCACATGTTTTCTCACGACGACAATATTTGCAGTAAAATTTGTTTTACTTCTCCTTTCTCAAATGTCAACAATTACTAATTATTTTCTTAAATCGAATTGCCTTTGCTTAGATATACTCATGAAATTATTTTTGGCGATCGGAGATTGGTTAAATGCTTGTGTCAGTATTGAGCGAACATCGCCTGTTCGACTCGAAGCCAAATTCAATAAAGTAAAGAGTAAACAAATCGCTAAAAAAATTATGTTTCCAACATATCTGTCTCTGTCAGTCTTTACAAGTTATATATAGAATCCTATTCATCGTCGTTTATTTGAAGATACAGAAGAACAATGAATATGGTGTGTAGTTCATAACTCATCATTTGTAAGAAATTTTGCCACATTTAACAACGTTTTTCATTTTGTCGTACCTCTTTCTATCAATTTTATTTCAATTGTATTCATAATATTCCTAATAACTCAACAGAAATTGAAGGCGCACACACAATACTCCTATAAACAACATCTATGGCAACAATTTCATAAACACAAACATCAATTATTGAGCTCATTTATTCTAGTTATCATTGCTTTGCCTCGTTTAATTATTTCTCTTATTTCCGATTGTATGGTATCTGCTCAGAATCCTTGACTATATGTCTGTGGCTATCTTATTTGATTTATTCCACCATTGCTGACATTCATAATTTTTGTTCTCCCATCTAAACTCTATCGAAAAGAATTCAAACAAGCAATTACTCATATTACAAAAAGGATTCAAACTCGATTTTCGCGCCAATGAGTATTACAACGAAAAGCGATTTATCTTTCTAGTCGCTTCATATAAAGATTTACTCACAATTATCATGCTTTTCTTGTTGTGATTTTGTATTGTGCTTACTTACCAGTTTGCTTCAATAAAAAAAAACAGATGTTCTAACGTCTGAATGTGGTTATCATGTTTCCACCAGTGATGCATCGATGGTTTAGTCTTGCATTGGTTATCATTCAGAAAACATTGTTTGGTCGTGAATAAAAAATCTCTTGAAGCCACCTGATCAATTTGATGCACAATTATATAATATTGTGGAGTTCTCATTTGGAAATAGTCGATGCACAAAGAAAATTCATTTGCAACAAATAATTATTTCCAATAGCTTACATACACTAATGACTTGTATTCGATACTATGATTAGACTATGATCAGGGTGTGGGTGTGTGAGTGCTAGCCTTGTCTTAGACAGCACCTATACCCATACCAGTCTTTGTGGTACGGAAGTTTTAGTTTCTATACGAAAGAAAAACGTAAAGATAAAGCCACAAGTCTGGAAATGATACTGTCAACTGAATCGAAGTTGCATTTATAGCTTCAGGTGGGAAAATTTTTACAGAGAAACTTGAATGACAAATAAAATGTTTAGTGTATTGACCAGGGATAGCAGGGTCGCATAACTGTCACGGGATCTTGACTAACATTTCTTCTGTAGAGTACAGTAGCATCTTCCTCATCTTTCAGAACATGGTGAGCGAAGTCAATCCGATGATGAGCGCTGTCTTGTTTGTGTAGGCCATCAGAAAGTGCATAGATGGCCGTCCTTCGTGAGAAAATGAGCCAATTAGGGTGTGGGTAGGAATGCAACGGTGACGATAACCGTAGGTACATTTATCGGTTCAAACCGGTTGTCACGAAAAACAGCATTTTTTAAGAAAATAATGATTTTTTTATAAAGGTTGACGAAAGCGAATCGGGATCGGAGAATACGAATTTGATATCAGTTTTCGAAATTTTGAATTTGAATTTTCCACAAAAAGATCTCTTTCTGAAAGTTACGGTTTTCTTAAAAAGCTTTTTTTTCACGGAAAAATCGTTTTCGTTTTATAAAAACTACCTTTTTTAAAAAAATTTATATGGAAAGATGAAACTCAAAATTTTGAAAAACTGATATCAGATTCGAATTCTCCGACTTCGGCTCACTTTCGTCAACTTTTAGAGAAAATCATTATCTTCTTAAAAAATGCTGTTTTTCGTGACAACCGGTTTGAACCGATAACTGTACCTACAGTTCCGTTGTATTCCTAGATGCGGGTGTGGGTATAAGTACACTCACACTCTTAAGAAACATACTCACACCTATCTCCCCACTCTTACACACTCCACACTCCACACCCACACTCCACACCCACACCCACACCCACACCCACACCCACACCCACCACACCCTCTAATCATGGATGCGTCTAATTATGATTAACAAAAAGCTGGGTTATAGAGATGAATAGAATGAATTCAGTCAGAGGTCAAACGAGTTGCAACGACGAGCGCTACTTGTATATATTAAGTACTTAAAAGTCGGTTTTTTAAAGTTACATATCAGTTGAGACATTTTTAACTCTCACTAATCACGCAAAGTAAATCTATTAATGTCTTGCCATTAGTAGTCTTTTCAACATTTCTTATAAAGAAAGATGTTCTAACTGATAGTAAAACTTCTTCTTCATCCGTATATGCCGAGATAGATGACACGTCGGCCGCCACTGGCATATTAGACAAATCAATGATAAACAGTACGTTTCCAAATGCTTCTGCCTTCGAACGATTTTTCGTTGTTGATGTAAATGCAGGCCAATGACCAAAATTCGACTTGTTGTGCTCATAACATTTGATCATATCAGGCGTTAGATCGGCACCTCTATAGACTGTACCATTGAGTCCTCGATGTTTATAACGACTTTCACTTTCTGATTTGAGATATTGATCCAAGAGATAAGAAAATGGGCCAAGTGTTCTGAGTTTGCTTAGATCACTTTCTCTTAAACATTTATTCAAAAGTTTGTACAGGAAGCATTCCCTCGTATAAAGCCAAGCGCAATGTTTACAAATTTCAGCTTTTGATTTCTCTTTCATACTTTTGAGGCTATCGGCAATCCATATAGCTTCACATCGTTTTCCCAATTTTGTTCCTTCTTCAATGATGCCCGTTGCAGCATCAACAGCGATTTGCAGTGCATTTTCAAACTCGTTAGTTGCGAGATTCATCTTATACACTTTATGATCAACATCCTTTTTCCAACATTCGAGAAATTTCGAATAGTAACCCATAGGGGCGCTATGAGATAGAAACGATGGAATATCTGCTGGCTGAGGTGGCAGAAAAAATCGGTCGCGTCGAAGTAACTCCGATCCATAAACATTATCTTGCATGCGTTTTATTGGTCGTTGGTTCATCTCGTCGGTTTTGCTTTTCTGAATATTGTTTTTCAAGTCAATAATATAATCATCTAACTCAACTGTCTCAAGTTTTTTCGCGTAAGCATCTTCTATAATTTCATTTTCAATGTCTGAATACGTATCCCACTTGGCTGTTTCTGATGTTGACCATGGATGCGAATTCGCTTTCCAATACCATATAAAACGAGCAGCCATTTTGATGTTAATACGACGGATAGGAAAAAGCTTTTGGAGTAGAGCAATAAAATGAGAATGGCATAAATAATCAAATTTGTGAAGAAGAGAAAAAAGTGCTTGTCACTGCAAGAAATGACGAAAATAAAAATGCGTTTGTTACTTGAAGAAACAAGGCAAATAAATTTTATTCCGTCATCGCATCTCACAAAAT